GTATGGGGCAAAAACTTGAAGAACAATGAAAGCCATCATCCAGAAGACACAGGTGTTTATTAACAGTTGTCTACACAAAGTACTTTGGATTAGTTGGGCAAACATTATCAGCAACAACCTACTTTGGGAGAGAACAAACCAGACTCCAACGGAGGAAGAACTTGGAAAGAAGTGCTGGAATTGGATAGGACACACATTGAGGAAAGCACTCGACTGCGTCACAAGACAAGCCCCTACTTGAAATCCTCAAGACTAAAGGAGTAGAGGAAGACCAAATAACACATTACGTCGAGAAATGGAGACAGATATGAGAAGTATGAAGAACAATTGGATAGAACTAGAAATGAAGGCAGAGGACAGATTGGGCTGGAAAATGCTGGTCTGTGGTCTATACTCCATTGGGAGTTTCAGGCATAATTAAGTAAATGTTCACAAGCAAAAAGTTGTAGACAAAGGTGAAACTATATGCAAATAAGCTCTTGTTCTCAATAACTTCACTCCATGATGTAGATCCATTGTGAGATATATTCTTGTGTCACTTTCTTGACTTTCCATTGAAATATTTAATTCCTCTAAGAAAATATTTCGTAATGTATACCACTTAATAACACAATTACTAGTCAAACACTATTTAACTGGTCATTTAAATGTTAGTAGATCTATTTGCTCGTTGTTATTGTTAACGATTACAAGTGATCAGTCTTTATCGACGTATATGGGTCCTAAACGAATTGCATTTTTTCAGCCACTTAATCCAGGGCTGGAACCCCCGCTTCACTTCGGTTTGAGCAACCGCATAATATCACTAATCTTTACACTTAGACTATCGCTCATTATACCCGAATACCTAGTGAATTATTCAATTTATATTCGTATAACTGTTGAATTACTTCAGTCTCTTCTGTATATTTAGACATAATTCGGCGGAAATATCTTTTCAATAAACATCGAGTGATTATTTTCTGGTAGCATAATTTGTTTCTTTGAATATGATCTGCATTAAGTTGCCCTCAATTTTGTCAGCTCCTCTTGGTGAGGATGTTGAAATTATTCTTTGCAAGGACACCAATGCATTATCTGTAAATTCACTTTACCCATGCTCCGTGACACCAGGAAATGAAAATATGTCAGAATAAACATTAGAAGTATCAAACAATCAAACAGATATACGTGTAAATAATATTTATAAAAAGATTAGAAATACGTGTTCCCATTATGACTTATTATTATTATTCGCAACATGGGGGGTACAGAGGGTCCGCCGAGAGAAGAGTTAAAAAACCTTAATTCCAAGCCAATAGTTCACATAGGCTCTGGGATTTTGAAGAAACAATGGGGTGTGAACCTATTGTTGTTCACCGGCTATCACGGGACTGCATCTCCTGGCGTTGTTCCACCGCTTTGTGGATTGGACATCTAGATCAAAGGCTCAGAGAGCCCCAGCCCTACAAAAACTGCTCCGGTTTGGGCACCTGGAGAGTATACTATCACACACACATACCAATTCAAATTTTTAATCTTTTTAGTATAATTACCATTGATTGTGCATATAACTACATCTACATTTGGTGGTTTGTTCTAAAGCTTTTCATTTTATTTCATTTTTATCTAGGATACTACTGAATTACTTTCATCTTATTTACACATTGTGTATGTATATGAATGAATGAAAGAATGCTTATCTGGCAATGTTATATACTTTACTATATTATCCATTTCAAACAACGGTGACATCATAATGTACTTTTCTCAAATAGAATATCATTTACTACCATTTATTCTCTTATGTATATCTACTTCAGTTTTACATTTGTAATAAATAATTGATGTATTTTGTTACATAATCTTCCTACAATATTTTATCTTTTTTTTCTCCCTTTCATCATTTCAACTGTATACAATATATTGCTATTATCTATTCTGCATATTGTCTCTCTATCCAGTGAATTTTTTCCCTGTCATTACATAATCACTTTTTTTTGTTTTATCTTCTCAATAATTTGTTTGTCTGTTCTTTTCTCTCTCTTTGACTGATCTCGTTTCAATTTCTGTCATCACAGACAAACAACATTAAACCAGATCTGTTTGTTTGAATAATTACAATATTGACAGTGATCATTTTCCTTTGGTTGTTGTTGTTGTCTATTTGTTCAACATGTAATAATTGATCAACTAATGTGAAGTTGTTTATTTTCCTCTCTTCTGTTGTGTATGTATGTATGTGTGTGTGTGTTTATTTTAATTCGTGTCGATGTGTATATTTCTATCGGACAATAATTTATATTATTTTCAACATGATAACTTAACAATATACTACTATTTTCTTCATATTTAGCAATAACGCACAATTAGTTAGTTGTTAGTAGTAATAGTAGTAGTATCTCGTGATGTTGAAACAATATTATCATCATTAAATGAAACTTTTGATAATGTACAAAAATTCCATTGTAAAATTCATTTTGACTTTTGTTTTTATTGCGTCTCATTCTCTCTCTTCAAATTGTCTATTTTATTTCTTTCTATGATTGTCATATCTCATCTCATGGATAATGGGTTATTTCATCATTCTTTATTCTAATATCCCTATTTCTTCATTCTATTATTATTATTATTATTATTATTATTATTCAATTTTCGATAGTGCAATTATTATTTATCTTTCATTCGTTATATGTATATGTGTGTGTGTGTGCGAGTGAGGGAGGGAGGGAGATGGATCATTTAATGATTAACTTAATTCTTGGCAACAAAAAAGGTAACAACCGTTTGTTTTTGTTTTCTTTTCTATATTAATTTATTTTTATGCATTTAGATATTTCATTATTGTGAAATGCAACAAACAAACAATAAAACAAAATAACAACAGTGTAAATAGTAATTCTCTCTTAATGAGACTGAATTGTTATATTACTTGATGCCAATAATAATAATAATAAGGAAGAATTCAGTGTTGAAACAGTTGACATTTCTGATTTTAATTGAAAACTGTTTAGTTTGTCATGTCCAATTGTGAGTCACAAACTATTCAATGTTAACATGATCTTTTCAATAATTGACATATACAAACAATAGTTCAGATCATATTAGAATTATTAAAGTATTATCTTAATTGGATTATTGTAAGCAATCGTAAAAATATATTCATCATATTTCGATCTAGTCATTTTGGACGTTCAATATTTACCGATCATTTGGTTGAATCCGAGTAACGTTGACAAGAACCTTAGAGTGTTTATGCTTTAATAATCACAGTGAACACTAAAATAATATGGAGAAAGAAGTATATATGTTGGCTCTGTGTAACTGATGAGTTTTTCTGGAGCTTCCAAACCAAAACATGATATCAGACTATAAAGTCATTAACTGTTGATCTGGGTCTTTCAGGTAGATACAGACTAAATAGTTGGGCTTGTTATAGCTTCTTCCTTGCTAATTATCACGTGACTAAATCACTAATCAGAACATTGTGTTAAACTAATGACGTTGATCTGTAGGAGCAGTGTAGAGTACTTATTGATTATTCTCGTCTAGCCCTACCCGTCAAGTCAGGAAAGCAAATATCATCTTCTACTGTATAGATCGTATATTTCAGACATACTTGGTTTATATACAACGAAACCAGACCAAGATAAAATAATAACACTTATACACAATCAAACCAAAAGTGGATGTTATTGTGAGAGATTGTAACTGATAATAAATCATATGAGAGTAGTTGATAGGTTAAATGTAATATGAATATAGTTACTTAATAATTATCAAATAGATAATAATAGTCCATAAATAATTCCTAGCAATTACTATTCATCTATTATTCGTTAGGATATAACAAGAGTCCAAGCGATAACTCCAGCCAGTAGTTTGAGGCTTTGCGTGAAATGATTCAGAATCATTCACAACAGCGTGGATGGATTCACTCTTTACCTTCTCAATCTTGAATCCAATTATTCCTTTACCCACTGTCTCTTCGTTCGCTATTCCGAATGCTCAATCGTTCACATTGTCATTGATACTATATTATTTTGATGTCTATGCTTTATACGCATTGATAATTTTGTCTCGTCGTGTTAATTGTGGTTTGACAACACAGTACTAAGATTGAATAAGTCGTATTTCGATTGGTGAATAAATCACGTGATAATTAGCCGAGCTTAAAGATACAACACATTCAATAAATGCCTTGTGACACTTCGTTTTACAATTTATAATTCTGTCGATAGTACTTGCGTCCCAGAATTGAATATATGTATCTCGTACATTGTGTACGATAGCCTAAACTGATAAACAATATATATCCTCTCCTGCCAAGCGACTTAACCGAAAGTTGGTTTAATAATGAGCAATAAATCATCCTAATGATGAACAAATTGCTGCTCAACTACGTGATCACAAATGGAAAGTCAGCGATATGATAATTTATGGACGAACGAATCAGATTTAAGATAACAAGTCTCGGATTTTGGCGCGAAATTCACCCATCAATTTGCTAAATAGAATTTTGGTATTATAGATGATATCAGTAGTTCCTGGTGAAAAGCCTAAATCGAATTTACAACCTTAATAAGTTTTATAATCCTCATTTGATCCTAGTTATTAGGTGAATACTCTCAATGTCACTTCAGCATCGCTGAAAGGTCGTCCATAATTTATAGTCTCACCGAAAAACCTTACTCATAAGTTGTTAACAGTGTTAAGTAAAACTGACCTTCATTATTTTGATCGTTTTGATATATATTTTGACTTCATCGTTCTATAAATAAAAATGTTCTCTTATCAAGAACCACTATCAGTGAGACTATAATTTATATATAACCTTTGAGTGACATTACATTGACCTTGCGAATGTGTTCACCTACTATCTAAGACTAAATGATACATTAGTATGTACATGTTTCCCATGAAAAATCTAACGTTAACAAGAATTCAACTAAATAAATCACTATAGTTATATTGTAAGCATTTTGATTTCTTCTTCGTTAATGCCTCAACAAAAACATCGATTAAAATTTGTATGTATATTGAGGGGAATAAATAAAACATAAGATACACATATTGTTTTGTTTGTTTCATAAAACTAATTTCATAGACAAAATAATACTGAATGTTAATCATGCAACAAAAAAAAATTTGTGTGTGGAACATTTCAAAGCAAAAAAAACAAAACAAACAGAACATATTTATTAACTAGTAACAAGAGAATATACACTTAACAATATAAATGAAATCAATCATATAATACAATAACAAAACTGGAGAAAAGAAACATGTTGGGTGTGTCTATGTGTGTGCATGTATATCTATGTATGTATGTATCTATGTATAAAAGTAGAAAATCAGTCAATATGAATGATTCAGGATTAAAATGTAAACAAAAATACAGAAAAAAAGAGAGAGAAAACAACAACAACAAACAATAGAAACTTTAAAAAAATGCATTGAGAAGAATTGTGTAGATGATGAGAATAGAAAGTAAATGCAATTCTATATTTGGTTTAATCATAAGGTCTAATATAAAACAGAGTTTAGAAATTAAAGAAGAATAATATATATATTTGTAATATCTTAGTGAAAGAATTTGAAGTAATTCCAACGTTTCACTTGGCAATTTGGTTCAAGCTCTTTAATGACTTACATGAATTCGGTGCCCAAATATTGTGAAACACGATTTGTTCAGAGTTTAGAAATGTTTAAAATTAAAAAAAATTGGAAGAAGAAGAAAACAAACAAAATTTGTTAAATAATCAGTTTTATAAAGTAAAAATACTATGAGATTGAAGAGTATAATCGAAAAAAAGGGTAAAATAATGAAATAACTATACCCATCAGTAGTAGTTGTTAATGAGAAAAATTAAGATTCTCAAAATATCAGAAAAATAAGTACAAAAATGCAGATAAGTTAGGTTTCGAAGAGTATTTTCATTTATTGACATAAAAAGATACAGGTTGAATATTATCCGTAAGAAATCAATCATCTGTGAATAAAAATGTAAATAAACTGGATTAATAATAATAACTAAAATAGTATCTGTTTATTGAAATCGCAATTATTCAAAACCTATGAGCTCTCCCTCTCGAAATGCTCTCACATGGCCACGCGTATATATCTGCCAGGGAAGTCCTTCTCGTGGCGAGGGTGTTGTTTACGAGATGTCCGGAGCTTTAACCGGGTTGGTGGATATAGAGCATCCACCTAGGAGAGTGGGAAATCCCTGATTCTAAACCAATACTACATATGGGCTCCAGGATCCTGAGGGAATAAATGGCACATGAACCTATTGTTGGTCACCGGCTACTATGGGACTGCATCTCCTTACGATGGTCCATCGCCTTGTGGGTCAGAGCTTTATGTCGAAGGCTCCGGGTGTAGCCCCCAAGAAAACCGCCTGCTTTGGTTTGGGCACCCGGGCAGTATCACAGCTCTCACACAAATCAAATGAGATTTGTGTGGTGCATATGTATTTGGTGCCTCCGTGTACCAATATCTATGTGTTAAAATAAAATCAGTAGTGCGCATCCATGACCCCATAGCAGAGAATCGGGATGAGGATCGTTTGTCATGCACACGAACGCTTAACCTAAAGAACATTGAATCGGTGTCTAAAGGTATGTATCTTTTTTGTGTGTGTGTGAACATGAACTGGATACTATGGCTGAGCATATTAGACCGCATGATACACAATATCTGATCGGCAATTGAAAGTCAGTTTATACGCTGGGTAATAGTTTTATTAACACAAATACAGGCAGCTTACAAAGTGAAACCCAGAATAAAAAAAATCGAATGAATCAGAGTTACAATTTAGTCATTCATATGACAAAATATGGAATTAGCTATGTCTTTGCTTTGTAATTAATCATGACTTTTTTCACCTGACATTTAAATCACATACGAAGATTACTTTTTACCGATAATGTTAACATTCAAGATAAACATTCCTACTGTCGTAACAACAGAATCGCCTTGGTTTATCATTTTGCAGATGTACCTATTTCAAAAATTTACTATATATGATGAAATAACATCATGCCCAGCCACCATATACTTTGAAGTTAACGCTGCCAGGTGTAGGAGTAGGTTGGGAGAATGGTAAAAATGGCCAAAATAAGAAATAGCATTATTCCATCAAAGCTATTGACGATTGGATTGAGACATGTTAACATGTGTTGACTAAATGGTTGCGGTCTGCGTTATCATCATAACCAGTGGTTAGAGGAAATCAGGTGGAATGGCTCAGAATCGTTCTCAGTGGTGCATGTTCAGTCGCTGCTTATTCTTACAACCTTAATCCCCCAAATGCCGAGAATGGGGAGAATCAGCTACCCCACTCGAAATGTTCTCACATTGCAACGCGTATACAAACACTATTAGGGAAGTCCTGTTCACTGCCTTCTAGAAGCACGAGTGTTGTTAACGAAATTGAGAGGACAAAAAGCGAATATCTGACGCTTTAACCGAGTTGGTGGATATAGAGGATCCACCTAGGGGAGTGGGAAAACCCTGATTCTAAACCAATGGTGTATATGGGCTCCAGGATCCTGAGTGAACAAATGGCATATGAACCAATCGTTGGTCACCGACTAATATGGGACTGCATCTGATGTTGCTCCACTACCTTGTGGATCAGACCTTAAGGTCGAAGGCTCCGGGGTGTGGCCTCTAAGAAAACCATCTGCTTCGGTTTGGGCACCTGAACGGTATCCCAACCCCCACAATAACCAAATGATCTATGTGGAGCATATCTATTTGGTGCCTTCTTGTACCAATGTTTATTTGTTTAAATAAATAAATTCTCCTCGAAAGTGTTTGTAACACTGTTAACAACTATTTTTTTATAATCGATCAGTACATTTGTTTTATAGCTCGCCATAAGTCAGACAAACGCAACGTGGAACCTGAGATGTGTGGACATCAGTTCAATTTGCCAAAGCATAGAGAGACAAAATTGTCAAAACCAATAACAGAGTAGTAGAGATAATAACGGTATTAATAGTGACAGGAAACACTAGTTATCAAAGACATAATTCGAGAAAATATAAATCAGTGAAGTAAAACAAAAAATATGAGGAATATTTAGAAATTTAGGATCTAAAAGAGGACAAATAGTAAATACAAATGAGCCACTGTGAACGATGTTGAGTCATGTTATTCAAAGTCTCTAACCATTGCTTACGATAATCACATGAACCGCAACCACGTAATCTGCACTTACTTACATGGCTCAGTCTAATGGTCAGTGTCCTTGTGGACCAATTTCGTGTCCTGTATGTGTCCGCTCTCGGCTTTCTTCCAACATGCTCTTATACTAGCCATAATCGCACGCCGAGATAGTAGGTGGACAAGCGTATTTGTATTTAATAATGTTCAAGCCATATCAGTCAATAGAGATTCATCCCTATCTCAGGTGTCCTCTATAAATCATAGATGTTTACCGCATTCCATTAAGATGGGCTTTTCATATAACACAAAAAATGTTTAAACTCGTTCAACTGTGTCCCATTGTTTATGCAAAAATTACAGTAGCATGACAAAATGCACGTATATATTTACTGTGAATCTGTGTGATACAAGACCGAATCTATCAGGGAATATGAGTTCCTCCACAATTAATGGTACAACATGCTGACAAGTACCAAATAGCACGAAACTTTCAATGATTCAGAGTTTCTTATCGACTTTGAACCCCCTAACATCTCAACTAGCAACCACAACCCAACTTAAACCATAGAATTTGATTAGTAGTACTAAGAAAATTAGGCAAACATGACTTACGCATTTTACTCCTCGTGGAGGAGCATAGGCCACCCACCAGCACTCTCCTCCCAACCATGTCCTCAACAATCCTTTCCAGTCGTTATTTATCCTTTTCAAATATGCTTCTATTTCCCACCCTAATGTGTTCTCTGGTCTTCTTCTTTTCCGCTTCCCTTCAGGATTCCAAGTTAGCGCTTGCCTTGTGATGCAGTTTGATGATTTCCGTAATGTATGTCCTATCCATTTCCATCGTCTTTTCCTAATTTCTTCTTCAGCTGGAAGCTGGTTTGTTCTCTCCCACAGTAGGCTATTGCTGATGGTATCCGGCCAATGGATGTTGAGTATCCTGCGTAGACAACTATTTATAAATACTTGTACCTTCTTGATGGTGGTTGTTGTAGTTCTTCACGCTTTAGCTCCGTATAATAGAACTGTTTCGACGTTCGTACTGAAGATTATGACTTTGATATTGGTCGACAGTTGTTTTGAGTTCCATATGTTTTTAAATGTAGGAATGATGTCCTTGCCATGCCAATCCTAGCCTTTACGCCTGCATCTGATCCTCCTTGTTCATCGATGATACTTCCCAGACACATGAAAGATTTTACATCTTCCAGAGTTTCGCCATCAAGTGTTATTGGCTTGATGTCCTCCGTGTTTTACTTGAGGATCTTTTTTTTTCCGTTGTGTATGTTGAGGTCTATTGATCCAGTGACTGCCGCTACTCTAGTTGTCTTTATCTGCATTTGTTCATGTGTATAGGATAGAAGAGCTAGGTTATCTGCAAAGTTCAAATCGTCTAATTGGTTTTGAGCTGTCCATTGTATTGTAGTGTCGGTTGACATGTTAAGCACATATATATCTTATTCTGGCTTTCGACCAGGCCAATCTACTCAATCATATTTTGACCTTGTTAATTATTCACTTACCAATCTTGAGTGTTTTTATATGAGCGCATATATATGTGAACATTTCTTATCCTATTCATCACATGTCTGTAGACTATTTTTGTGTGACTATAAATATTGATTAACGGTTGACTAAAGGGAAGTTGGCTTATCCACCATCTCCACTGCGCGTCATTTCGCTTCTCTCTATTCCATTCGTTCCATATACAAAATATATGTATTCAAAAGTCCATTCTCGTTATTTGACTTATTTAATTCCGTTATTGACTAACACGATTTAAGTCAATGATTACATACGAGGATAGGCGATATATATATATATATATTAGGTGGCGGCTGGAGGTAGTCGACAGGAAACCCTGGACCCGGGTTTCGTGCTACTTGGCACTCGTCAGCAAGGTGTACCTGTAATCTTGAGGGAACTGGTGCTCCCTGGCGGATTCGATCCCGTGTCACTGGGCTTCACAGTCAGAGACGTTATCACTAAGCTATCCGAGTCGCGACTAACAATCATCCATACCATCTACTTGGAGTCAGATACCACGCCACTAAAGTGGTGAGCCCATCAACAACGTCATGCGATCTCAAATGACGACAAAATAAAGGGGCCCCAACTAAAATATTTCATGCTTTCTCTCAAAGTATTTCTTCTGGTAAGCGTTTTTTAGCGAGTTAGTTTTCTACGGGATGCGGACGCTAACGCCATGCCCAACGGTTCTCCTTTATCCGGGCTTGGGACCGGCAGTAACTCTAGAAGAGCTACAGGCAGAATCTTCAATACGAATGTCAAGGCAGTTCTACTGTACGGAGCTGAAACTTGGAGAACTACAACAACCACCATCAAGAAGGTACAAGTATTTATAAATAGCTGTCTACGCAAGATACTCAACATCCATTGGCCGCATACCATCAGCAACAGCCTACTGTGGGAGAGAACAAACTAGCTTCCAGCTGAAGAAGAAATTAGGAAAAGACGATGGAATTGGATAAGACATACATTACGCAAATCGTCAAACTGCATCACGAGACAAGCCCTAACTTAGAATCCTGAAGTAAAGCGGAAACGAAGAAGATCAAAGAACACATTACGTCGGAAAATAAAAGTAGATATAAAAAGAATGAATAACAACTGGAAGAAATTGGGAAGGATTGCCCGGGACATGGTTGGATCGCGAACGTTGATGAGCGAACTATGCTCCTTCACGAGGAGTAACAGACGTAAGTAAGTAAGTAAGTAAGTATGTCAGTTTCTCTCAAATCTTGAGTTATTAATATATTATTTATAATATTTTAAATTATTAACTCACTTCTATTATGATATATATTTAACTTAGATTCCATCATTAATAATTTTGTTTGACTATTATATACATGTTTATTTTTTAAATAATTACCAAATGTCAATGAAGAATTCATCAATTGATGATGAATATACTTTATACATTTTGTTAATGTTGAAAGTTTTCTTGGTATATTTTCATTAAATGAATTCAAAGATAAAGAATAATTCAATGGTAAATTATAGAATTTTTGTTGAGAATTATATATTGTTGAATCAGATAATAAATGATTTCTTGATTGATATTGATTAGAATAATCATATTCTATTACACCGTCACCGTCACCGTCACTGTCACCGTCACCACCATCATCATCATCATGATATTGATTATTATATTGAGCGGTCATATTCAATTTGAAATTTGATAATGAATTATTATTATTATTATTAAAATATTGATTGGATATTATGATTGTTTTAGGAAATTTTTGGATGATCAATTGACTATTGTTATCACTGGGGGAATCAGATAAAATCTTCTTATTAAAAGAAAAAAATTAGATATAGAAAGAAAGAAAAAATATATAATAATGATATTGTTCAACTAGCCTAACTATAACCTATCAAGAAGATGAAAAGGTATTCTTCATACTATCACTAATTTAGATTATTTATTTGAACATATAAACATTTGTACAGGGCGGGTTGGCGACATCAAATACAATGAGGTTGTGAAGAGATAGTTAAAAGAAAGGTGAATATATATCAAAGAAGAGTAACAACGAATAGAAATTAGTGTATGAGAGTGAAATAAGACGGTGGATCTGATTCAGATGTGAAGGCGTGGATCGGAAAATCAAGAGAAGCATATCTACAACTGAAGAACATCTGGAACTCAAAATAATTGTCAATCAACACCAAAATCAGAATTTTCAACACAAATGTCAAGGCAGTTTTACTGTATGGGGCGAAAACTTGAAGAACAATGAAAGCCATCATCCAGAAGACACAGGTGTTTATTAACAGTTGTCTACACAAAGTACTTTGGATTAGTTGGGCAAACATTATCAGCAACAACCTACTTTGGGAGAGAACAAACCAGACTCCAACGGAGGAAGAAATTGGGAAGAAGTGCTGGAAGTGGATAGGACACACATTGAGGAAAGCACTCGACTGTGTCACAAGACAAGCCCCTACTTGAAATCCTCAAGACTAAAGGAGTAGAGGAAGACCAAATAGCACATTACGCCAGGAAATGGAGATAAACATGAGAAAAATGAACAAGAATTGGATGGAACTAGAAAAGAATGCCCAGGACAGAGTGGCTTGGAGAATACTAGTCAGTGGCCTATGCTCCATTAGGAGTAACAGGCGTAAGTAGGTAAGTGAGATAATAATAATAATAGTAATGAGACAAACAGTTGAGTTAAGAAAATACAATCCGAAAGGATTCTTCCTATGAAAGAAGTTACTTTTACTTTGATAAAGAAAGTGACAGCAGGATCACCACTGACTTCTATTCCGAGTCATGTATGCAAACATCTCAAGAGGGCAAATCAAAACAAGGTAGTAATCGTCCTACAAGCACAAACTTCCTTCTCACGCATCTGTACACACACACACACATGAGTAAGACATTAAATGTAGATCGCAGTAATAATTATTAACCGAATGAAGAATAGTAAAATGTGAATTTAACAAAGACCTAATATCAAAATTACTCAATACTTATTTGATATATTGTGAAAATTAAACAGGCCAATGCTTCCAGCTTTCTAATGGTGGCCTAATTACGATCGATTCATGATTTCAACGATAATTAATTAATAGGATAGAGGTACATTGAAAATTACTTACTAAGATTACCAAACAGGTTACGTAAGATTAGAATTCCAAATGTCAACAAAATCGGAATTGGAAAAAAATTAAACGAAGTGAAAGGTTCTGAAACATGTAATAGTATCGAAGTTGAAGGTCAGGATAGATTCAAAGGCTGTTTATACTTTTTCTGTATATAGAGGTTAAGCTTTTTGATGTGTATTCTTATGGCTTCTGCTGACAGATGCATTCCAAGTAAAGACCGGAGTCAGACAAGGCTGTTTACTCTCTTCCTTCCTCTTTCTTCTGGTGTTCGACTGGATTATGAAGACCTCGACATCTGAGGAAAACACGGAATACAATGGACAGCTCAAAATCAATTAGACGATTTGGACTTCGCAGATGACCTAGCCCTCCTATCGCATACACACGAACAGATGCAGACAAAGACAGCTAGTGTATCAGCAGTCTCTGCATCAGTAGGCCTCAGCATACACAAAGGGAAAACCAAGGTCCTCAAATTCAAAGTGGAGAACAGCAATCCAATCACTCTTGATGGCGAAACTCTGGAAGATGTAGAATCCTCAACATAACTGGGAAGCATAATCGATGAACAAGGAGATTCAGATGCAGACGTAAAGGCGCGAATTGGTAAAGCAAGGGTCGCATTCCTACAATTGAAGAACATATGGAACTCAAAACAACTTTCAACCAATATCAAAGTGAGAATCTTCAATACGAATGTCAAGGCAGTCAGTTCTACTGTATGGAGTTGGAACTTGGAGAACTACAACAACCACAATCAAGAAAGTACACGTATTTATAAATAGCTGTCTACGCAAGATACTCAACATCCATTGGCCGGATACCATCAGCAATAGCCTACTGTGGGAGAGAACAAACCAGCTTCCAGCTGAAGAAGAAATTAGGAAAAGACGATGGAAATGGATAGGACATATATTACGGAAATCATCAAACTGCATCACAAGGCAAGCACTAACTTGGAATCCTGAAGGGAAGCGGAAAAGAAGAAGATCAGAGAACATATTACGTCGGGAAATAGAAGCAGATACGAAAAGAACGAATTACAACTGGAAGGAGCTGGGAAGGATTTCCCAGGACAGGGTTGGACGGAGAATGCCGGTAAGCAGCCTATGCTCCTTCACGAGGAGTAACAGGCGTAAATGATGAATGATGATATGTAAGAGTCATATTCAGGAACCATAAGGTAAATTTGATGAAATTTTACAAATAACTTTCAAATCTGAAGTTTTATCTATGTGATGATCAATATCGACTAGATACGTCATGATAGAGCTTCTTATTACTTTCTTTTCTCCTTTGGTCAACTATGAGAGGTGATGTTTAGAAATACGATGATTCATTGATCTCATTACGCATCTTATATTTGATCCAAATGACTTTAAGTTCATATAGATGATAATTCATTTTTACAACTAGAAAACTATGCAAATATAACCGATTTACTTCTGATCTAAGTTTCCAACAATTATGAATTAAGTCAAAATGTAGTAACACCGTATGGATTTATTAGTCACAGCTTCTCATCATGATGTTAATGATCTTAAGAATAAAGAAAATAGCGTTTAGTTTTTCATTACCATAGCTTATATGTCATGAAGCCAAAATTTCAACTTTCTAATAATCATTTTATGTCAGATGATTGTCTGATTCTGATACTGAATATAAAACCTACTAAAATCAACTACTGGAGTAAGAAAACTGGAAGTTTTATTAATTAAAATGAAATCAAGCATACATCTATCTATCTTAAAAGCTTAAGCTATATTATTAACCAATAATGGTGTTTGTTTGCTTATCTTTTGGCCTGTTTAATTTTCACAATATATCAAATAAGTATTGAGTAATTTTGATATTAGGTCTTTGTTAAATTCACATTTTACTATTCTTCATTCGGTTAATAATTATTACTGCGATTTACATTTAGTGTCTTACTCATGTGTGTGTGTGTACAGATGCGTGAGAAGGAAGTTTGTGCTTGTAGGACGATTACTACCTTGTTTTGATTTGCCCTCTTGAGATGTTTGCATACATGACTCGGAATAGAAGTCAGTGGTGATCCTGCTGTCACTTTCTTTATCAAAGTAAAAGTAACTTCTTTCATAGGAAGAATCCTTTCTGATTGTATTTTCCTAACTCAACTGTTTGTCTCATGATTATTATTATTATTTCACTGTCGTACACTAATTTCTGTTCGTTGTTACTCTTCTTTTATTATACTCACTTTACACTCTGCATATCCTCACAACCTCATTGTCACTGTGTGGTGTAGCCTTGAACCAATGTTTATGTGGCGCAATTTCGTGGATTAGTTGAAGTTAGACATCGTTAGATGCCGGCTCAGTGGACTAATGGTTAAGCGCTCGCGCACGAGATTGATAGGCCCTGGGTTCGAATCTTGCGGGGGCCTGGGTCGTGGATGCGCAAAGCTGAATAGTCCCACACTAGGACAAAATGGCCGTCCAGTGCTCTCAGTTTTTCCATGGTGGTCTAGCTTCAACTGACTCATGATTTCAACTACTGAAATTACTAAAATCTCCACAAAACCCCTTCTGACAATGTTTGTGTTTAAACAAATAAATACTAGGTATCTAATCAAGTCAATATTAGTTAAACAAGATCAAAGGATAATAGCTGATATAGCAGAGAAATCTGAGCAATAATACAGAATCATCGTACCATATACTGTTTCTGTTGTAAAGAAAAAGCGAATATGATATTTTCAGTGTAAAGTTACTTTCCTCTGATTAGTTTTAAATAGGATAAAACATGTTTCCTAGATTTTACAGTTAGTTAGTCACCATTTACCTATTTTAAATCTTATCAGTATTGTTTCGGCATTAATTTTGTAAAACTCCCTTAAAACATAAAATACAATGAATAGAAAGTAAAAAGAAAACCTACTACATGATTCTTTTTATTCTCATCATTATTACGATCGATTGATGATGAAGTGGAAGAACAAGGAGAAATCGATAAATAATACATTTTTTTATTTTGTTTACTTATTTTATGTAGACTATCACAACTTTTGCTTTTATTATTATTATTATTAAATGATTCTATCGATTGATATTGTGTAATAAGATTTTGATTGATATTAAGCCTATCACCATTATCATCATCATCATCACCATCATTGAAACTTGCTTCACGACTTGAACAAGTACTGATTGCATGAAAATTTCGATTGGAAATAATCACATTGTTAACACTATAACACATCAAATCATTATTAAATCTATCATCATCATCATCGTCATCCTTATCATGATGCTTTATAGTAAATTCAGGCAAGGAATAACAATGTTGCAATGAATTACCACAATGATTTGAATTATTTGTCAATTTTGTTTTAATATTATTATCATTAGTAGTAGTATTAGTATTAGTATTATTCAATGGTTTCATTTTCAATATATTCACTTGTTGATCTATACTGGGATCAATTTCATCATCAACTTCAATAACACTAGATAATTTATTTATTCGATTCAATAGTCCCGGTATACTTCCTCGATAATTGTGTAATTTACGTTTAATTATAAAATAATTAGTAGGTAATTTTTTGTATTGTAGATGTAAACATTTATCACAATGATTTGTAGTTGTTGTTGTTGTTGTTATGGAACTGGATATTACTGTTGAACATTCATTAAGATTATTTATATTAAAATTATAATGATTATTATTATTATTATCTTCAATCATGTCTAATTGACGTTTCTGTGAACATATACGTATTAGAGCACAGATTAATATAGCAGGTACCGGTGCAAGAACTAGTTTGATTAGAAGAGTAAAAAAAAAAGAAAAAAAACATGTTCTTGAATGAAACAAAAGATAAAAAATAACCAGAAATAACATTCATTCGGTTAAAAAAAAAGCAAAAAAGAATTCGTATTTATAAGTGTGATTCATACCAACGCACTACTCAGGTGCATATTCAAGTACTTAATTTTTACATACACTCCATGTGTTTATTTATATTTACTTATTTAAACACATAAACATCGATACAAAGAGGCATCAAACAGATATGCTCCACATAAATCATTCGATTTGTGTGGGGCCTGGGATACTGTTCAGGTGCTCAAACCATAGCAGATGGTTTTCTTAGGGGTCTGATCTACAAGGCAGCGGAGCAACATCAGGAGATGCAGTCCCATGGTAGTCGGTAACCAACGATTGGTTCATATGCCATTTGTTCACTGAAGATCCTGGAGCCCATATGCACCATTGGTTTGGAATCAGGGTTTTCCACCTTTAGGTGAACTCTCTATGTCCAGTTCAAGTGTTAGAAGTGATGATACCCCATTCAGTTATCAAAATAGATGAAGTTCAGATAAATGACTTGGTAGTTAAAAGTCGGACATCTTTAATCTGTGATCTATAGCTTTATAATTCCAATTGTAACTATATATCGTTTGATTTGTTAATTTCATATTAATTACGACGAAATCAGGCACTATCCATGTTATTTGCAACCTGAACATCCAAATTAATGCTGCAGTAAAACAATAAATTTGCCACGATCCCTTGGCAGATCATCAGTGAATTATAATTGGACGTTAAATCTACTGTTCATCACGTAAATATTACTTGTATGTATGTGTGGTGAAAGTCAAACTGTGAAGATAAAACTAGTGTCTAGTGTCATATAGGATTTAAGTTTATTCTAATATGAGAAGAATAATACTTCTTATAAATAGCACTGAAGATTCCAGTTGCCTTAATTTACAAGCATTATAAGCCAAGATGGATAGTGCCTAGCAGTGGAATCCAGGACGCGCGTTTCGTCCTGTTTGGGACTCGTCAGCTGGATGTACCTGCATCTCAGAGTTGATGTTCATCCCGGGACTCGAACTCAATACCGTTCGCTTCAAACGCCATGGCGTTATCCACTTGGCTACTGAGTCCTGATAGTACCTTGCTTGTGCAATGAGGTGAAGTTTAATTCACTTGGTATTGTTTTACTTGAATCTTCCCATTGATGTTTTTGGACTGAAATTGATCAGTCTCTTATTGGCATATGTGCATACTGTGCGTATGCCTCGATATTGCCTTAATTTACAAGCATTATAAGCAAAGATGGATAGTGGCTAGCAAGTGGTTATCAGGAGTCCGTAGCAAAGTGGATAACGCGATGGCGTTTGAAGCGGACGGTACTGGGTTCGAGTCCCGGGGTGAACATCAACTCTGAGATGCAGGTACATCCAACTGACGAGTCCCAAACAGGACGAAACTCACGTCCTGGATTCCACTGCTAGCCACTATCCATCTTTGCTTATAATGATCCCACATTCTGTTGTAATGTGGACTACTCGAGTCCCAACTTCGAGGCTCACTAAATCTTGTGAGTTGCTCGATGTATGTATGAATCCCAAGAGTCGCAGTTTGTGTAGCTTTTTCTGCAAGTATATCCAATAGGGGCGTAAGTTGAAATGTCTGCCTTATGTCAAATAATATAAGCGTGCAATGGTGTACAAGTCTAACCTCAATCAATTTACGAAGTTGCGCAACCCTCATCCACTGGCTGAAATGGATAACTGTCTCACACTCGACACGGATTGAACTGCATTAGAACTCCAGGAGTTCCATCATGAACCTAGTCACTAATCAGCACATAACTATTATTGGTATAATAGGTGGGTTGGTGGAGAAAGTAGGAATTTCTTAGTTTTAAATCATGAACTGAGGGGTCCCATGATATAACAAAACAGTGGTTCAGTGTTTATAGGTTCTCCATGGTGATCTAGTTAAGATCAGTTTTTGATTTAAACCACGAAAACTCTACAGTCTTCACAAGTCCTCCTAGACTATTATTATTATGACTAATACTTCGGGTTTTTTCTCTGTAATTTTCACTTATTTTTTTTCATCTACTCTGTTACCAAACCCTAGATTCCAGTCCCAATCAAATAAGTAAACACCAGAACTACTTCCATTTGTTGATATATCCATCTAGCAAGTTTTACAAGCAGACACATTTCAACTGGATACGATTTTAGTTCATATTTATTATCATAGTAATACAACAAGCTATCATGATCGATTTGCAAAAGGATTCAACAATCAATAAGTTTTTTCTACATGTGAAAATATTTAATTTCATTTTCCTAAACAAAAGGACTAATTTTGATGGAGTTTAGTTTTGCTGGTCTGGATAGTTTAGTGATGAAGCAGCTTACATTATTTTACTGAATTACAACATCATAGGCAAATAAACTTATGGTAGAAGTGAGGTATTCGAGTTTCTTCACATGGGACTGACATTTTATCTTGTCGACCTCGATCTTAATTAGATAGTGTTGACATTTAATCTGTTTGAATAATTTTTTCTGATTAGCGTTTTTTTTAGCGAGTTAGTTTTCTACGAGATGGGGTCGCTAACCCCATGCCCATCCCTTTTCTTTTACCCGGGCTTGGGACCGGCAGTAGCCCCCGAAGGTGCTCCAGGCGGACCAAAGAACACATTACGCCGGGAAACGGAGATAAACATGAGAAAAATGAACAAGAAGTGGATAGAATTAGAAAAGAGGGCCCAGGACAGAGTGGGTTGGAGAATGCTGGTCGGCGGCCTATGCTACATTAGGAGTAACAGGCGTAAGTAAGTAAGTAACATTTAATCTGTAATTGTTCGTATTTTTATTTTTATTGAATCTCCTACTTGTCCTACATTTGTCCATGATCTTTTTCTGAATGGTTGATAGATTTTATCTACTTTGATGTGTTTATTGATTGTTGGTTGACTTGATTTCCAAGACTCTAAAAATTCTCAGATCTTAGCATTCCTTCTATTCAAGATTTCGATATTTTTTTCAATCGAATGTGTGTCCACAATTGTGCACATGTATTAATATAAGGAAAGATATGTCACGGCATTTGATCGCTAATTGATGTTCATGCAAGCGTAGATGAAAGAGGGGTCTATTTTGACCGATGTAGTGTTTCTTACAATTGGAACCGTTTATTTTGTAGATGATGTTCGCTTTTTCTTTTTTTCTTCATTTCATCCTTATGATTTCATAATATTGATTGACGTGTTTTCCCCGGTTCATGTGTTACCCATTTATATGTTACGCTATTTATATTGACAGATAAAAGTATTACGTAACATAAATCTGGAGTAGAATGCCTGGTAGTAGAATATTGACAATATGGAATTGAGGAGAACAGTAATGTAAAAAGAGTTTAATTGTACTAACAACATGAATGAAGGAACGATGAAGTTCGTAAGAGACAACTGATGAAAGATGTGCAAATGAAGTATTTACTATATGCTTTTCATATTTTACTAAGACACTAATTTAGCATTAAACATTGAACTAGTCTTCCCCACCTAAGTGCACGTTCCCTACAAACCTATTCCAAACGGCTTCAACAATCTCGTTTTAATTCCTGGTATGCTTTCAATATAAAGTAAGATGATCCGTTTGTTGGGTTCTGTATTTCATTTCATTTCTGCTGATGAGTTGGATTGATATTTTCTGATGAAGATGAGTGGATACCCCTTATTTTAAAAGATAGTTATTAGATATTTTTCCTTATTATTCTGCGCTGTAAATGTGCTGTAGTGTGTTCTCGTCCTTTTGAATAAAATTTGTATATAGTTAATTTTGTAAGTTCTTGGGGTTGTTGCTGCCGAAATCACTCACCTGATCTACAAATCATCTCCACTATCTCAAGAAAAAACTGAATTATAGATTAAATTGTTATCCAAAGTAAAAATTATGCGACCGAAACTAGGCTTAATGAGGGAATAGCCTAGTTTCAATATAGCTAGAACAGAAACAAAGCCCAACGTAGTGATGAAACGCCTTGAGAGGTTTATTTTTTTTTATAAAACATAAAGAAGGATCACAATAACAGAAATTTCATACTTACCTATCCATGGTAATTTAGATATCCAATGATGGTCTTTAGCTGACGGGTTCACAAACATGTGAGTAGAGCATGAAAAAGAAACAACAACTTATAAACATCCATTTTACAATAAATATTACAAATATTTAAAATATCATGCATTTACACGCATAGAAATAATAATAATAATAATAATAATAATAATAATAATAATAATAATAATAATAGTGGTAGGAATAAGGTATATGGACGAACCAATCCGATTTAAGATGGCAGTCATCAAAAATTTAGCGCGAAATTCATGGCGCCATAACGGTTAGCTTTTAACTTGTTGAGAGTTATAAAGAAACTAAGGAATGTTTATCAATATTTTATTATTTAGAAGCTGGAATTTCATAACATGATAAGACTAAAGATCTATAAAGCTTGTATGCGATTATTGGAATGATGATGAGAAATTTTAAGGGAAGAAACAGTTGAAACTAAATACACTTGAAACTCACAACGGATTAACAAAATGTTTGGTGCTATACTTTATGGACGTAAAAAAACAGAGGTAAAATAGTCCCCTGTGGATTAAGCACGGAATTTATTCATTCATGTACATAAAGCATCGTTACATTATAGCCGATGTCATATGGCAATGAAAATCTTACGACATGTCTCATGTGGAATAGTAAGATGTGATTGGCCAGAAGAATTATGAAGATATGTGACTTCGTCATTGTTACCGTAGTTGAAAAAGATGCCAAAGAACAGATATTAGGTGCCAGGTGAAAGCAAGCCGTGATTAGTCAACGAATGAAGACAGATGAGTAGTTATCCCTAGAGTACTGCAATCACAATCCCAACTCATCATAACCAATCCTAATCCAGTCTCGTTTCAAGGTACCTACAGATGTACTTTACCATGGTGTAGGGATACACCGGAATACTTGTGACATGACTCAAGAAGACCTACTTTCTTCACAAACAAACATCCTTTCATCACGTGTAACAACTACAACACTGATCAAACTATGAATTAACCAAATAACTCATGAGTATTAGATTATATGTTCAAACCTATTTAGCTGATTTAGTCAAGAAAATTATACTGTATCACTGGTTATCAAAATAACGCTAATGAATTCACCTATGAGGTGAACATGTATGCACGTAATGCTTCATTTATAACTCTACACTGGTAAAACAAAACAAAATGGTAACTTACATAATTTAGAAGATGTTTTCAGGGAATAATTTGATGGGATCATATTACAATTCGCTTCATCCTGTGATAAATTAACTTCATTCATAGGTACTCTCAAATCACAATCTGGAAGGCTATCACACAGCATTGTAGCTTGAACACAAATAGGATGTTTACTTGATAAGATATTATACTGATTGGGCAATGGTGTTAGTGGTGAGGACGACATTGACGTAGACGATGATAAATGATTAGTTTGGTTGTCTTGGTGATGATGGTTAGTTGACGTAGTATTGGAAGTAGATAAAGATTGAAAACACCAAAATCCAGAGAAAAATTCACATAATGCTTTCTCTAAAATTTACGATTGAAATACATGATTGTGAATGATTGTAACTGTTACGATTTGGGATAAATAATCTAAAGTGTAATTCCAAATTTTAAAAAACGTGAGGAAGATCCCCTAAATAAGAAATGGGATCTACAACAACTAGAAAGATCAGATGGCTTATACACTACTACACTTCAGTTCAAATAATTCGTACGTGAATCAAGGGGAGATGGGATTGTAGTTAACTTTAGCATGAGACATGAACGGAATATAAACACCATTTTCAGATCCCATAATGCTTGTGCCATCGGAGACTCTTTCATAAACTCAGTGTCGAAGGTCAATTATCTTGGTGTCACCTTTTCCTCTGATCTGTCTTGGTCTTCCCACGTTTTATCGTTATCGAAGAAGGTTTTCCGTCTGACCTACTACATAAAGAGATTGCATGCTCTTGGGATTACTCGTCATTTACTCTTACAATTTGTCAATTCTTGCATTTTACCTATTATTCTTTACTGTTCTCCATTATTCTTTCCCGGGCTTTTGAGAAAAGACTTTGCTGTATTGCGAAGAGTGCTGAAGGCAGTTAGCAAGATGTGTGGTGAATCTTTCGAGGCCATAATTAATATGGTTGTGGATAGACATTTAAAATCATGCAAACTCCCGGCAGGTGTTATTTTATCAGATACTAGCCATCCCCTTCACTCTTATCTTTCTCCTTGTATATCTTCTGGTAGAACGAGACGTAATTACATTAAAATCCATGCACGTAAGGAAAAGTATAAAAGTTCTATAATTCCTTACCTAGCAAATATACTATGTGATGAACAGGTTGTTAGAAATAACCTAGTTAATAATTTACATTCTTAACATGTCTTTAATTTTAAAAGTTTTGCACAGTTTTTTTTTCTTTTTTTTTGGTCTTTTTTTTAAAATTTATTTAAAAAAAATTTTTTTTTATTTTTAAAAAATTTCTTTTTTGTATTTGCTACTGCCTATTTGTTCGTTTTTTTTTTCAGTAAGTAACTTGTTGAAATACCCTGTGCTGAGAATTCTATATTGTACCAAAATATAATATTGAATAAAGCCATTAATAATAATAATAATAATAATAATAATAATAATAATAATAATAATAGTTGTTAAACTATATTACCGAATGACCTTGTGACAATCACTCATCCCAGCCAATCAGAAACGAGTTACAGTACGAAGTCAAGGATTTTACAGAAAGAATATTCTTTGAACACGACTGATTAACTTCGCTTAATATTACTTCTGAACTGCTAGAGTATACGATTAGAGTTACGATTAAAGATTAGGATCTAGACTTAATTTTATAAAACTAACTCCTATTCCGAACTATTAACATAATTTTAACCATAGTCTTAATCCAATCATAATCCTGACGTTTGACACAAAGTTTTACTGTGATTCCAACTCTAGTCAGTCAGTCAACTACAACGTAAGACCAGGTACATATATGCATCGGTCCAGGTTGCCATACATCATTAGCACAGCAAGATGAACACCGGATTCATAGGAGTGGTTAGGTTAAAGGTGGTAATATATAGGAGAAAGATTGCATATAAGGATACAGTACCGGAATATAGAATTAGTTCGTAGAAAGAAAGATATGAAGCGATTTTAATCTCTTAGTTTAAGAGAAGACAGGGAGTGCATGCACCGACGCCATTGTGATCGATTCTGAGTCATGTCACCAAGAGTCTTCAACCATCGGTTACGAAAGTCACGCGGACCCCAATCAAGTAGTCTGCATCTAACATGGCTCAGACTAGAGGTTGGTGTCTTCAAGCACTGATGCCACGTTTTGTTTTGGCCGCCCCTAATTCTCATCCAACCATCTCTAAAACCCGTTAGCATTGCACGACGTGGTAATCTGTGTTCAGGCATACGTAACATGTGGCCCAACCATCTCAGTCAATGAAGATTAACAACCTCATTAACTGATTTACGATCATCATTCCCTAATACCCTGCGTCTAACCTCACTATTACTTACCCGGTGATCCCAACAGACGCCAGCAATATTTCTAAGGCATCTGTGGTCAAATATCAGTAACTTACGGGTGTCTTCTACTCTTAAAGGCCATGTTTCGCTGCCGTACATTAAAACAGAGCGGACTGCCGCGCAGTATACTCGTCCTTTTATTGATAGACGGGTATCTCGCCTTCGCCATAGGTCACGTAGGTTGACAAACGCCAAATGAACTTTTCGAATCCGTGCTGAGATTTCGTCCGACACCAACCCATTAGGGCTTATCAGACTTCCAAGATAAGTGAAGTTGTCAACGCGTTCGACTACTTCACTCCCTATCCTTAGTTCAGGTGTTGACGCAGACCAGTCCTGAAGCAACAACTTGCATTTAGAGGGAGAGAAGTGCATTCCAAACATTCTGGCATTGTTGCTCAGTGCTACCAAAATACTCTGCATTTTATCAGCGTCTTCACCAAACAGGACTAATCGATCTTGTAAATAACTATGTTTTTTGCCGAAATTCCCAGCTTATGGTCAATATCCTGAGTTTCATATAGTTAGATAAAGGTCCCTCTACACTAATAAATCTCTCATTTCCTTGAAGTCGCCTTCTTTATTCTGCTTGGTTAGACGGTATGATTCTGCACTATTATAGACGGAAATTTCATAAGTTTTATATTCAAAACTGTAGTAAGACAAATATGTTTATATTATATTAGTCAAATTAACGTAATCTCCAGATACTTGAATATGGGCCACATATTAAGTGTGATATTGAAACGCAGCTGCCCAAACCGAAGTAGATGGAATGATGTTCGAATCTAGGACTTAATGTTTGAAAGTCAAACGCCTTAACCACTAAGCTACTGCTCCATTGTTTATATATTGTTTCAAGCATGACCTTAGAGCATGCAAAGAAAAATAACAGAATTCTAAGTCCTTACATTGTTCCTAGTTAGGACAAAGGATTTAGCGTAAGGATTAAGGGTTTAAGGTTAAAGTTTTCATCACAAGTTAACATCACTTATATTGTAAAAATGCTTTGTAACCATATGGATGAACAAATTTTGCGCAAAAAAATGTCAGAGATGCTAACTGATTAGTTCATCCATAAAATGTAGTGTATCACTAAGTTAAAATTAGTTTTAGGATTAAGAATTTATGAATGTAATTAATAAATAATATCAATTTGTCTGATATATACAACCTACTGAGAAAGAATTGAGTATTTAACACATTTAAGATAACAATTTTTACTGTATGATGACAAAAAATAATTTTTCAACATCATTTGAAACATTTCAGACAGTACAGAATAAGGTCTATATTTTATCGAACACTTAAGAGACATGAAAACAATCTCGTCACATCTCACTGTATTTACCAATTTAAATATGTGTGAGGCCACATATAAATAGAGAGGAGTAAATGCGATCACAAAATTAGGGTATATGAACATGTACCTAAATGACTGCACAGACAAATAGAATCAAATGACCCAATAAGAGTAGAGGATAAACATCCATCATCTACTATTGCCAAATACATACTTGAAACAGGTCATAGGATTGATCTTAACTCGACTTTTATGGTGTTGTACAAAAGTGTAAAAGGGTGTACAATATAGGAAATTCACTTGGTATTGTTTACTTGAATCTTCCCATTGACGTTTAGGACCGCAGTTGATCAGTCTCTTATTGGTATATGTGCATACTATGCGTATTGCCCCGATATAGCCTTAATTCGCAAGCATTATAAGTAAAGATAATAATAATAAACAATACCAAGTGAATGTAAACTTCACCCCATTTCACAAGCAAGTGGCTATCAGGAATCAGTAGCGCTGAAGCGAGTCCCAGAGTGAACATCAATTCTGAGATGTATGCACATCCAGCTGACGAGTCCCAAATAGGACGAAACGCGCGTCCTGGATTCCACTGCTAGCCACTGTCTATGTTTGCTTATTTCAGACAGTATATAAAAAGGTATTTCTACTCCTCGTATTAAGTAATATTTGTATATTAAAGAAAAAATTAAATATCTCATTCTTAATACTTATTGACTCGTCCATATACCATAACTTTTGTATTTATTTACATTACATAGAGGAAGAATCCTTTCTTTTCTACATAAAAAAATGAGAATGAAAGTGTGTAACATGTTATATGCCTATATCTTTCTATATAGACTGTATATAACATGTAAATCAATGGGTTTTTTCTTTATTGTACTCTACTTTGTTTATGGTAAGTAAACTTCTTGAACAAGTCACTTGATTAGTGATTCATTAACTGGTAAACAAATTGGTGGGAATGGAACTGTGTGAAATATGCATGACTAATACATATCACCTTTTTATAACTTCATCAGTAAATTTATTGATAGAAATATTTTGAACGATGATAAATTCCTATAAAACTATTTATTAGTTGAAGTTAGACAATGATAATGTTGAATAGCGGCTCAATGGTCTAAAGGTTAAGCATTTGGGCGCGACATCAAAGGTGTTGGGTTTGATTACCACAGTGGGGTCGTGGATTTTCACTGCTGAGGAGTTCTATACCAGGAAGAAACGGCCGTTCAGTACTTTCAAGATTTTAATGGTAGTCTAACTTAGATCGGTTCGTGATTTCACTGTAATTCAACAATCTCAACAACCTTTTACTGACAACCATTTATTGGTAGGATTGGGAAAACAACCATTTAACATGGGTATACTCGCATTCATACAAATGACGCTACTTAGCGATATTTTAATGAAAACTATTTTGAAATATTGATCTAACCGTTGGGGAATTAATATACTTATTAAAACCAACACTACGGATCATCGTCGAACAATCAGCTGAGTGGAACTCATCACTATACATCAACTTCATTGATTATGAAAAAGCATTCGACAGTGTAGATAGGAGGACATTATGGAAACTTCTTCGACACTACGGAGTTCCTGAGAAGATTGTCAACATTATCCGGAACTCATACGACGGACTACAGTGTAAAGTCGTGCATGGAGGACAGCTGACAGATGCATTCCAAGTAAGGACCGGAGTCAGACAAGGCTGTTTACTCTCTCTCTTCCTCTTTCTTCTGGTGGTCGACTGGATTATGAAGATCTCGACATCTGAAGGAAAACACGGAATACAATGGACAGCTCAAAATCAATTAGACGATTTGGACTTCACAGATGACCTAGCCCTCTTATCGCATACACACGAACAGATGCAGATGAAGACAGTCAGTGTAGCAGCAGTCTCTGCATCAGTAGGCCTTAGCATACACAAAGGGAAAACCAAAGTCCTCAAATTCAAAGCGGAAAACAACAATCCAATCACTCTTGATGGAGAAACTCTTGAAAATGTAGAATCCTTCACATACCTGGGAAGCATCATCGATGAACAAGGAGGTTCAGATGCAGACGTAAAGGCAAGGATTGGCAAAGCAAGGACAGCATTCCTACAGTTAAAGAACATATGGAACTCAAAACAACTTTCAACCAATATCAAAGTGAGAATCTTCAATACCAACGTCAAAGCAGTTCTACTGTATGGAGCTGAAACTTGGAGAACTACAAAAACCACCATCAACAAGGTACAAGTATTTATAAATAGTTGTCTACGCAAGATACTCAACATCCATTGGCCGGATACCATCAGCAATAGCCTTCTGTGGGAGAGAACAAACCAACTTCCAGCTGAAGAAGAAATTAGGAAAAGACGATGGAAATGGATAGGACATACATTATGCAAATCGTCAAACTGCATCACGAGGCAAGCCCTAACTTGGAATCCTGAAGGGAAGCGAAAAAGAGGAAGGCCAAAGAACACATTGCGTCGGATAATAGAAGCAGATATGAAAACGATGAATTACAACTGGACGGAGCTAGAAAGGATTGCCCAGGACAGGGTTGGATGGAGAATGCTGGTGAGCGGCCTATGCTCCTTCACGAGGAGTAACAGGCGTAAGTAAGTAAGTATTAAAACCACTAACATATTTCATAATTTCTGTAGCGAAATATGTTTTTTTGTACTAAATCGTAACTTTTCCTCATTCGATGAAAGAAAGGCGATTTCAGAATGGCAAGGTCATCACAGCTACCTTTGCTGACTTGTACCTATATCTTAGATACATCATGAAGAGGGGAAGATAGAGAGAGAGAACAATGTCTAAGATTTTTATTTACTCTACATTTTAATCCACCTTCTAAGAAATCTACTGTTCACTAATGGGGATTTCGGTATAAATCTAATAGTTAACAAGAAAATAACTGTAATAAAATTATATCAGATTGTATATATTTACTTATATGAATTATGCAGAAACAACATCAGTCTACCTGAGCGATTTTGATGTGATGTCTACTAAATATAACTCAAAATGAAAAAAAAACGGTTGGTTAAAACATATTTTAAAACCGAAAAATATCAAATAACATACGGCGTTCCATAGAGAAATTTCCTACGAATAGCATATGTGAAGAGATACGCACAAGAAATTTAATGCCTGATCTGGAAAGAAAATGTTGATTATTCAGATTGTTTAAGTGGGATGTTGATGACAATGAAGAGTCACTGAAACTTGTATTCAAAAAGATAACAGAGGAAGAAGTACTCGACAGTGATGTATTTGTAATTGTCGAAAGATCTGTAACTTCTGTTTCGTTTCTCAGCTTCCAAGTAATGCGAATTCTTCGTAAATATCCAGATAAACTCCAATGGTTAGACTGACCAATGTAAGAACTTGAGCAGTTGATCAGTAAGATTTCATCAGGCTATTTTTAAGGGACAGCAAAGAAACGACACAAATAGTCTATAAATTAAAGAGGTTAAGTATTTTACTTGTTAATATTATTATACTGTAGTGTGACTTTTGGAAAAACGACAGAAACTATAATATACGGCTGAAAACATTCGATAAGTAGGACATAAGTAGAAATATTTCTGACTGCTAAGCAGATCACTCTAACGAAAATCAACATTAGATGATCGTACTATCATTCTCATGCATTGAATATTCAAATAAAAGTTTGTGGCAAGCATATTTGAATGGAAAGGTATTCTCGTTAGGTTCTCAAAATACTGAGATATATACAAAGGTGCTTACTGTGTACACTTAATAGTTCCATCCTGAATTAGCCCCTTTGTGAAACGGTGACCTGGCAATTAAGCTGTCGGCTTTCAGCTTTCAAGGCACAGGTTCGAACACCACTCTACTAACTTCAATTTCAGCAACCGCGTAGTATTGTGATTCATGCCACTTATGCTGACAGATATAAGTAGTATGTAGAAGCAGTCTGAAGTGGAAAGCCTGCTAAAAGAAGGTTAGACTAAGAAGAACAAGAATGGGAACAGATAGCAATTGGAGTAAAAACAGAATTGGAAGAACTATGAAGTATGTAAAGGACAACTGATGGACGATGTACAAATGATGTATTTAATGTATGGTATTCATATTTTATGAAGACATTCTGTGATATATATCCAACCAAGTTTATAAGTTTCTTACCAAATATTAATACAACGTAATAACCATATACTTATTTATTATTTTTATACAATAGAATAGATAGCATTACGTAGACATAATTTAAGGAGTGAAAACCCATTAAACTGGCATTAATAAGACATAATTTGGCTTTTTTTGAAGTAAGAAACAGTTTAAGGGAAATCACGTAATTTTGGAGTGGTTTTTACATCTTGACCTTCATTGGTATGATGAAATCTTTCACAGTGTTTTAAAGTACCAATGATATATGATAATGTACCTTGATAGGACTTGAAATCAGTATTACCAACTAAACCACTGCTTATTAGAAAAATTCACACATTAAAAAACGGAACAATTAACTGACAGAAAACTGAAAAGATAAATGGTTATGTGATAACTTCACTGAAGGCTATGGAACATGTCTGTCTGTAAAATTTCAATAGATTCAAACCACCGAATAAGTAGTTTGTTTTAATTAAACTAATGGAAATAGACTAACGTTTTTAAAATATTATATAGATTTGTGAATGATATGTCTTCAAATTACATACCCTGGTTATCAATGGTTGAGATAATCCAAACCACTAAAAATTACATGGAAATTCATACTCATTACACAAGTGAGTGCCTAACTGAACTTAATAGCTTTATTATTATTATTATTATTATTATTATTATTATTATTATTATTATTATTATTATTATTATTATTATTATTTAAACACATAAACATTGGTACAAGGAGGCACCAAGTAGATATGCGCCACATAAATCATTCGATTTGTGTGACGGCTGGGATACTGCCCGGGTGCCCGAACCGAAGCAGGTGGTTTTCTTAGGGGGCCACACCCCGAGCCTTTGACCTTAAGGTCTGATCCACAAAGTAGTGGAGCATCGTGAGAAGATGCAGTCCCATGGAAGCCGGTGACCAACGATTGGTTCATACGCCATTTGTTCACTCAGGATCCTGGAGCCCATATGCACCATTGGTTTGGAATCCGGTTAAAGTGCCGGACATTCGCTTTTCATCCTTTCAATTTCGTAAACAACACCCCCGCCACGAGAAGGCAGTGAGTAGGACTTCCCTGGCAGAGCTGTATACGCGTGGCCGTGTGAGAGCATTTTGAGAGGGCGAACCCACCCCACTCTCGGTCGTACCAAGGCATTTGGGAGTAACTTAATAGCTAAATGGATAAGGCATTGTCGTTTGAAGTGAAAGGTATTAGATTCGATCTCCATAGTGAATATTAACTCTGCAAAGCGAGTAAATGCAACTAATAGGATGAGACGACCCGCATCACAGATTCCATAGCCAGCTATATTTCATCTACTCCACGATTATTGTTTAAAACACTTTCTGTATTCAATTGTAAGCAACACTCCAATAGTAATCGACTACGTGATAAGGAGATTAGCATTTCAAAATTAAACTCACTGCTTCTCCGATACTAGTTGAATCTATGGTATCACCATCTTGATCCTTTAAAGCATCTTGCCGCCAGTGTTTTGTGTTCCACTCCAACGATTCAATCCATTGTTCCAATTGAAGATAAAAGGATTCAGACAAATGGGCATTTTTAGGACAAGTAAAGTGGATATTAGCTCTTAATAACCAAAAGAGAGCCTATTTATTCACGAGAAAGAAATGTAAAATAAGCATACACACTACTTTGATTAATATTTATGTTACAAATCGCGATAAAAATTTATAAATATAAAACAACTTAAACTTGGAAGAATTGGACAGAACAAAATCCATTCATTGCTTCCTAACATTTATTCTATCCTTATTTTAAACGCTCCTTCCCTGATCCCATCTTTCTGCTCTTGTGATCAATACTAATGATCTAACCATACAAAATTCTATCGATGATCTCCTGAAACTACGTTCAAAACCACAAGGAGTGAAAATCAATTAAGCTGGCATTAATAAGACATAATTTGGCTTTTTGAAGTAAGAAACAGCTTAAGGGAAATCACTTAATTTTAGAGTATTTTTACCTTTATGTGCTCTTATACTACCAGTTAGTTGGACAGCACAGACGACCTCCAACTGAAGCTTCATCTACAAGACCTCGTTAAGTTTACAAATGTATCGCCATATTTACACCTGCAAGGGCATAGAAAGTTACTGCCAGGTCTTGGGAACAACAAAGAATGAAATATACCAGTTCACTCACTCGCTCAATGAAAGTTCATATCAAATAACCTACTACTTTTTCTGAAATAATATAAAGCTAGCATTAAGTTCTCAGTAGTCTTACCATACTTGACTAGTACTTTTTAGATGCACAAGACTAAACACTTGAATTTTGTATCCCTTTAAGGCATGAATTTACATATCAAAAGTACACAACAGCAACAAGTCGCACACTTATACTTCTTGAATAAGCATTTTACAGGTATTATAATACAAAATAGCTTACAGAGTCAATGTCACTTGGACCAAGATTTTATCAGCGACCAGCCTTCAAGGGGCAATGGAAGAAAACACATTGGTTCATTTTAATCATCACATTTTAACTAAGCGAAGTGCAAATTGATTCTATAGCTTTAGCTTTTAATGACCTAGCAAAGAAAAACCAGTCTGAAAAGCTTTGGGTAGTTAGACAAGGTGCGAAAAAGATTCTTTTCCTCTCCCAAAAAAGATTTGTAGCATTGCAAGTGGATTACAGGACTATCAAGTGCGAGCTTTAATTGTTAGTTGAGCCTTTTTAGCAAGTCTTAATTTTGTTTCACAGAAAATATTATTGTAGTTTGATAACAAAGATCAAAACTTACTAGACCTTCTGGGAATGATCTTTTTACAAAACGACCAGAAGGATGAATGACTAATCCAGGACACAATGCAAATTTCGGAGTCCTTGGAGGATTATAAAACGAAGACGTATTTAAATCCCCAGGCCAAGATAACACTAACTGTTCACGAATTGTAATATCATCCACTACATAATTAGCGACAAATCCTTTGTCATGCCTTTCTTTGCACGGCTTATCGAAACTAGAAAGCAGGACATCTACAACTGTTTTGATGTACTGAGTATAGACTTACAATTATTCGCGAAAACATCACAAGTTATAGCATGATAAACTAAGATAATGCTGGTGAGTGCTACATTCTTCATGGACGTTACAGCATCAAAAACGAATCGTTCTACCCAATAACCAATAAAACCAGTGATTTCATGAAAGACAAATAAACAAAAGATGTTTGAAATAATTATCGAGAAAAAAAGAGGGGATCATAGATACAAATAAACAAGTAAATCCAGCAAGTCGGTTACAGCTACTACCAAACAACGTGAATTAGGTAGGTTGAAGTGACAGACAAAAACAATCCAGGGTGTTATATCTTCATTTACGAATCCCGGTTCGTATTTATACAACTGTAAGCAATTAAGATTGTGTTTAAGAGAAAATGGTTTTCCACATACACCATTGTTCGTTATCTGGGAGCTGAACATAAAATGTTTTATCTACTTGGTAAGACAGGCCTTAGGTCACTTAATGATGATAAACGTGTGCTCATGAGAAATACCGAGCAAAAGTATAAATATGGCAAATGACCTGAGATAATTCCAATACTTGGTAAAATTGGTGTTATTACCATATTATATCTGCTACTCCGACGTGATCTGCTTCTCCTGTTTTGCTGACCTAATCAGGGCATACTGTATGGAAATGTAGTGCTAAGTAGATGGACTGGTGGCAAACAAAATATCGTCAAAAACTCAGGAAGTTTGCTTAAGATTTATCAAAATATTCATGAGTGTAGCTCAATGACACTTTTGTGATTTGCACTTAGTAAAGAAATATACCATGAAAACTTGCATAAACCATCAAGTGAAATAACAGAAGACCTTAGTCGGAGCCGGAGAGTAACTCACAATGACCTTGTTTATTAGATGGAGCGCCCCATCCAATTTCCAATCCAGTTTATATTCGATAGAGTAAAGTAATTAATTTTTATTCACCGTTCCGTATTGATGTTAGCTCACGACTCCGTGTTTTTGGTGGTGTCAATTAAGGATAACACACTAAGTATACTAATCTTGTAACCTACTTGTAGGATGGCTCATCTTTTGTTTCCGAAATATTCACATAATTTCTCAAGAAGATAGAGTGAGAACGAGGGTTTGACTATAATGTGTATGTCTTAAAAGTGTCATGAGTATCTTGAGGTTAGAGATGTCTCTCTATCTTCGGAGAAAATGGAGCATACTGAAAGATATGTTTGAGTCTCCCTGATTGTGGCGCCAACAGTCCATGTTTCATGTCGAAAAAAACGTGGATCGAAATTCGCCGGGTTTCTAAAAACGAGATGATAATAGTGAGATACAACAGCGGGTCGCTCCTCCAAAGCTTGAAAGGGAATGATGTCACGAATTTGGAGGCTGAGTTCCTAATCTTCTTTTAAGTTCGCTCTTACAAACCAACTAAATTCCCGTGAATCTCTTGTAAATCTTCATCAATATTGATGGCTCTACACAGCATTATACTGTTTGCTTAGATCAGGAACAGTAAGCCGCGACTTTCTGAATGAACGCTGATTAGACTGAAGGAGAGTAAAGAACTTTATTCACCTATTCGTTAACCTGTATTGACATTTCGTTGTTAACAGTAGTCGTATAGCTTTCGATCTACTATAACAATCTCATGGCACACGCCTCGCGAACGAGGCTATAACCTGATATTGATTGTGGTCCTCAAACTTACGCAACAGAAGTAACATTTGTGATTTATAATAATAATCTATCCTAAGCATAATATTAGGCAGATTATATTTCTTCGGAGTTTCATTCGACTTATTAACTAAATGTGGGTTTGGCTCAACATAATACTCAGTTTTGTACTCTAATAGGCTTGTTAAATTTGCATTTAGACGTTTATATTATCTGTAATGGTATTGGTTACAACTACACGATCCTCGAAGTCGAACGTGAAATAACTAAGAAAACTCGGTACTTTACACATAGAGATCAAAATTAGTGAATGCAGCAACAATCGGTATGGAATAGCTCGACCTTGCAAAAATGGTCATTCTATTAACAAATCCCTATTCACATAAAAATGTTATTCTTTTCCCAAACTGTGTGTTGTTCAAAATTGCTAAACATTCGAGTGCTAATTTTCACGATATAGTGAGTCATAATAGACAATCTTGTAACTTCTACACAATATCTTATTGATTAGGTAATCGCATCATGACAAGTCTTCATTTTTGGGATAAGGTATATTATAATATTTACAAAGATATACGTAATAATATCAAAATAAACCTTATCCTACATATCCACATTTTGCATTCCTTTTATTAGTTTTGAATATACTAAATTTTCTCAGGTTTGTGAACTTTTGTTCACGCCTGGTTGGCAGATTGACTTAAATATTACCGTCACCATGGTATGCTGAGAATGCTAAAAGATGGTAAACATATTCTGAGAAGTATCATCAGTCTCCTGATAGGTTTACGGAAATCTTTTCAGCAGTGCAAGATAAACTAGTCTCGGAACGTTTGAGCACTAAGCGACATACAGTAAGAAAAGAAAGAGGGTTTTCAATGACAGTAGTATTCGTGGAATAAGCACCGACATCACTGAAGATAGGATGTAACTCAGCACCATCATAACATTGGTAGTTTTAGGCCTTCTCTGCAAATTTGTGTGTTCTAGCACGGCCTCTTCTGTTGCAACTGTGGAACTCAAAAATTATATTGTAGGCGATTGTACGTCCATGACTATGAAGTTCATTGTCAGAAATGCTCAGCGCCTCAGATCTCCGACCAGTCGACGAAAAACAGGGGAATCTCGTCTGTATTCTGACTGTCAAATAAAATGAACCATAATTTTCCCCAGAACCTTGAAATCTAATCACATTTTGTGACAATTTCTCAACAGTTGCGAGCCTTAAAGGCAGCTATGATCTTCCTCTCAGCTTTCAGGACAAAAACAACAGGATGCTTTAGAAAGATGTAGACAGGAAACTCATGACTTCCGAAGTTGGACTACAGTTGAATATATGGCTGACCCGGGTGAACGGAACCAAATAGCAAAATCATCCAAGACTTCGTGAGCGTTCACTTGCACCACTAACATGAAGGATGTTCTACTTGGCTTTCACTTGTTGAACTCTGAAGAGGCTACTGAGAGGCCGCCTAATGTACTTTTTTCGGACTGCAGCATCATCAGGACACATCCCAAGGAAGTCCAATGAACCTTTCTTTAGCGAAAGAAATATCATTGTGAAAAGTATCCCAGAAAGCACAGACCCTGATAATACAGTCTACTTTATTCCAGAGCAGAAGTTCCTACTACTGTCCTTGAAGCTTGGGAATATATTAACCCAGTAAATAGTACGGCCAGACAAGGGGGAGATCTCAAACATTGTGCAATGAAGATAATCTTTCTTTCTCTCCAAATATTGGCTGCTACTCTTGAGGCTTATGTGCCAAATGACCTAGGTTATGAGTTGGAATCCAAATGCATCCAAAGACAAAGACCACCAACTTTGAAAAACCCACGTGTGTAGGTTGCCCATTCATACACATAATCTTTATTCAGATATACTAGACAAGAACATTCATTCACTGATTTATATTCAAACGTTGCAAGTTCAATGAACAAAATGGATGAGTTGTGTGAAGTGATCAACGCTGTTAATACATATCTGATAGGAACATCGGAAACATCAGTATATCAGATCACAGTCCAGAAGCTGGCCATAATAGGCATAATTTTGTTTTGCGACGACAGAAAAACAGGGACAGAGGGCGGAACAGCCCCGTACATATGGTTCTGTTTGGTGGCACATCAAGTGTATGCTCAAGAGTTAACCAGATTCGATTACCTGTATTATGCTCAGTGAGATTTTCCAAAACCATTGGGTGTCTCGTTAGTGCCATCTACAAGAAGCTAACAGCTGACATCGGCTAAGACGATAATACGCTTGAGGAATTATCAAATTCTATTCGTCTCAACACGTCCATACCTTATATTTGGTGGCATCATACCGTTGGATGCCGGCTCAGTTGTCTATTGGTTAAGTGCTCACGTGCGAAGCCATTAGGTCCTGGGTTCGAGCCCCGCATGGTGCGGGGTCGTGGATGGTGGTCTAGCTTCAACTGACTCATGAATTCAACCTGTGAAATTCTCTCTATCTTAAAAACTACAAATTCGTCTGTTTTGCAAACGTTCCTCAGAAGGTACAAGCAACTTACAGTCGAAAGGAGTTCTACTATTTGATTACCATCAGACGGAATACAAACGAACGGTAAATTTGTCTCTCAGTAGAAAAGCTTATTCCGTTATGCATAGTCTCAACAAGGATCTAAATCTAGAGTTCCCTAGTTGCTAGATCTTAAAGCCGAGCCAGCAACGACGATTATGCTTCAGAGCTTCTGACAATATAGTATTCCTGAAAATTTCAATCGTTTCACACAACTTGCATTAACGAGAGCTTTACCTGTAACACAAAAGTTGTCCCAGAGGTAAATCTAAGTTCCGGATAGAGGTATAAAAAAATTGTAGTTTCTAAACAAGGACATTTCTAGCCAAGAAATGGTTCATCGTCCAATGTTAAGTGAGGCAGCTTCAGTCTTTGCAACACCGCTTGCTGTAATCCTCTTGCATTTCCTAAGCCTGGGCATGGTCCCAGACTAATGTGAGCTAACGCATATCAATCCAACTTTTAAAGAAAACCAATGCAATGAACCTTCTGATTCTAAGTACAACTGAATGTGGTGTTTGAGATTGATAATAAACTTCCAGTCAAATACAAATAATTCGTCATCAAGTACAAAAACCGCACTTCACCTAATGGTGACTTATTTCAATACTCAAGGTGCTATCAAATGGATGGGAAAGACCCATTCCCTGTCTGAGGGAGAAAACACGATCGGTTACTGTGTTACAAGATATATCCAAAACTGTCCTTAAACCTTATGTGTCAATCAACCTGATGGATATTATTGCCATTCCCAACGGAGCATAATTTTCAGAAGGGAATAGGAAGCCGCCTCAATGGTTTATTTCATCAGAACACGCGCCAAATGACAGACTAGCATACGACACAAAGCACGTGCTGACCAATGAGTTCATTGGTTTTAATGGACACACCCTATATTAAGGCTCTCGTTCACGCATCGCCACCAGGTCACGTGTGGGTACGTCGCGCTACATATCCCTTGTAATTACTAGCCAGCTATGACCAAACGCTTTTCGAAATATCGATGGCCTTCCAATTACATCTCTGAACCTCTTTATTTCTGACTTCTGATTTGACATGGTTAGCATACTTCGATCTTGTTGCCGGTTAAGGAGTTGTCAAACTCCGAATGCTTGTAGTATCGTTATGATCAATCGGACGTCCATATGAGCGCAGGGATAAATATATATGAAAACATATGTATAAAATATCATCGATGAAAATAAAACTTTTCGGACGGCCAGGTGATTAAAGAGCTTAATAAATTCAAGTACACGCAAACTGAAGTTCAAATAAAAAAATGGTTGTGGATGGAATACAAGAAGAGTTCACTCGACAGGTTTCTGTATCTAGATGCAGTGGATTCTCATTCCATCTAGGTAGGAGCCTGGGTACACTTAACGGGAGAGAGGAAAGCATAAGTAAATCGTAGCGAAAAACTGTCATGACACCTTAAGAACATGTCAAATTTCTTCATGAACGACTGCTGACTACTCATAAAGAGTAGGTGTGGCCACAGTCCATTCTACGATAATGTGTCCCTACTTTCTGGGTATTGTTCATAAGGTATGTGTTGGAGATGAGCCCAAGTAAGTAGTTAGGGTGCTTGTGGGTGTTTACGATGCTATAAATTATTATTGCTTACAAGGTTTTTCAACTGACAATGGTTCAAATGGTTCAAACGGTTGTGGACGGAATAGAAGAAGCTTTCGCTTAACAGG